CTGATTTTCATGAAACTTTGGTGAATTGTTTATATCTATTGATGTAAACTCCCTTTCGATTTTCATAATTTTTTTATTTTATGTTTCCGAGTTATGGGGGGATTTTCCAGTTTTAGGACAATAACTCAATGCTTTGAGCAGTTTTCATGAAACTTTGGTGACTGGTTTATATCTATTAAAACAGGCTCCCTCTTGTTTTTTTTATAAATTTCTGATATGACATTGAGCAGTAAATATGGAACTTTGTTGAAAAAGCCAATGGTGTATTATGCGCTCATTATTTACCTAATAACAGCCACTTGAATAAGAAAATGTCTATAATAATAAGTTGTGGTTTCGTTTATGGCCATTACTTGGGATATTGTGCTCATATTTGGTATATTATTGCTTGAATAGTTACATATCACATGAGTTTTGTTCTGGTTGACCTACTTTTAACAATTGTATCAGTTAAAAAATTCCATTAAAATATTATTCTCTCATGTTGTCATCCCTCCCTTTCAGAGGTAATACAATGTTTTTAGATAATTGTGTAAAGATGCATTAAAGGAAGTTTCCTACCAAAAGAATGTCACTATGAACATCTACATTTCATGCTTCATTTCCTTTGGTTAAGTTTAGTTTAATTTTTCGGAAATTGAGTGACCTACAATTCTGTTAGTCTGTACAGGAATGCATGAAGATCCTAGTAAGAGTTCCCACCAAAGGTTAAGTCATTCTGATCTTTATGTCTAAAATATGATAAAGTTTTAAAACCAGGCACAAAATGGTCCTTAGTCATAGATCTTATTGAATGCATCCACAAGAGTATGTTAACATCCAATCAAATCTTTGACCCACATTGCCTGCTTCATAAACTTTGGTTAAGTTTTTACACCAAAGTTTTTCTTTCAGATGCAAAGTGACCTGATGGTTGGTAGATAGGTATTGGGGGGTCAGACAGGCTCCTTACAAATGTAAAATGACCTGATATCATCCAAATGCATTATGAGATACTGTGTGGCAAACAAATTATGTTACTTTGTTTGAATGTTTGAATGGTGTATGATGGCAGTCTTATTAGCCAGGAGCAAACTCTTTTATTTTGAGGATGCTACTTAAATTGAACTGCAATAGGTGGAGAGCAACATACAGTCAAGTCATAGTAACTGTAAAAAAAATAAGTCCATTTATTTGTAAAATACGGAAAAATGAAAATCAAGATTTTGAAAATTATGCTTCCATGTAGGTTTGACAAAGTTACTGATGTATAAAAAACTTTCACCACAAACTGAACCTCAATGTTGACGCCGCCCTCAATGGAATCTAGGAACGCCATGTCTCGCTTTCGCAAGATAAATTTTGCAGGCTCAACAAAAATGTTTTATGGTGTCAAATGAGACAAATTCTATCATAAAATAATTAAGACCTATGTTTATATAACTATTCACTTGGGAGTTAAAAGCATCTATTCATTGGAAAATACAGTGCAGAATAATAAATCATCTGGTTTCATGGAGGAGTTAACATCCTATTGGTATTTTTTACCATATTTCTCCATAACATTTGACAGGAAATCTATCACAGCGCCGATTCTTAATGTGCTACATGGTTTGATAACAGGTTTGATTGAATTCCACCTTACAATTACGTAACAAGATAACACATTGATTGGGACTTTCTTGGTAACTAATTTATAAACACAGTGTTATCTTTGTTTTCAAATAATTCATTCTAGGATTTTAGATAATTAACGAATCGAACTCAGTCTAGACATTCATTTATAACAATCATTTATTTCTACATGCAGCTAGGATTGAAATATATCCAATACTTTTTTTGTCCAAATGTCAAGAAACTTTTCTGTAATGTTTTATTTTAGACTAGTTCAGCAGCACTTGACTTAACTGATTTCACTATATATTTTCTGTGTAATTTAGCTCATGCAATCCCTGGAACAATACAGCAATATTGTTGGTTGATCAGGACTGAAGTAGACACTTACAAGACTTCAAATCATATTTGGCATAAAAGTATTTTTTCTGAGGTTTCTAGACCTTTTTCTATTTATTACAAAAGCCTCCCAAGAACCACTAAACTAAATGAACCGAAACTGACAGAAATGTTTTGTGTATGAAACTGACAGCCTGTTATTGCTTTTGTATTTTTTAATCAATAACAAAATAAAAGAAGAATGTGTCTGAGGACACGAATGCCTTGCTAAAGCTTTGCAATTTTCCAAGTTAAAAAGGGGCATAACTATATAACAGTAAATGGCTCACTACCAAAATTCGGAATTCCAACTCTGTCTGTGTGTTGTGGTTCTTAGCATTGTGTATGAGTTTCATAAAATTTCAATAAGACAAACTTAAGTTAGATTGTGGAAATGAAAAAATTTGCAATTTTCCGAGTTATAAAGGGGCGTAACTCTAGAACTGTGAGTGACTCACTACCAAAATTCAAACTCTGTATGCAAGTTTTAGTTCTAAGCATTGTGTATGAGTTTCATAAAATTTGCATGAGGCAAACTTAAGTAAGTGTGTGGAAACGGAAATGGGTTGGACTGAAAGATGGATGAAAGGACGAAAAGACGGTCAAGGGTAACACTGAATGCCCATGTTGCCTACGGCTGGGGCATAAATATGACCCCTAAGAAAAGGGACTGACTTGTAAGAGGGACGTAATGGGGGTCCCTTCATGACGGTAAAAAATCTTGCCAAATGACGTTAACGGTAATTTTTGGTGCATGACTATAAAATGTACACTTTCTTTTAGACCAGGAAAAAAATTGATTTTGACGAACACGTTAATTTTTTTTCCACAAATAACGGTAACGATAATTATTTGAGACCTCTGACGAATCACGATAAGGATATTTTGACGAATCAGGGTTAAATTTTAATCAATTTGACGCTAACCCAACTCAGGACCTCCATAATTTGATTCATGATATCCTAAAATATTCCAGGATCTCCACAAATTATCAGTCAAAATTGTTTTATTTCAGGAGGAGTTATTGATTTCTTGGCAACTTTATCTTTAGATTGTATCTAAATGTAAAATGAAAATCAAAAAATTATGCTGTGGATACTGTCTTTTAATCATAAAAAAGCATCTGTCCAGGTTTTATACAATTCCATGAAGGTTTTACAAAGTTATTGATATTATAAAAAACTTTAACAACAGAGTGAACCTAAATGTGTATGCAGTAAATGATCTTCGCCTATAATTTCTTGCTTCTACTATAAAATGTTGTAATCTCGCCAAAAATTACCTTTTCACACCAACCCTTTTAAAGTAATATTTCTATAAAGCAAATAAGTTTATTAATTGTCCTTAAATATGTCTTTTTTGTTGTATAAACTTGTTTAACCCCGCCACATTCTGAATGTGCCTATCCAAAGTCAAGAATCTGTAATTTAGTGGTTGTTGTTGTTACTGTGGTAATACTCATAATGCCTTTTTACTAAGGGTTTTGCTCATAGCTGAAGGCCTTACAACAGTCTATAGTAGCTAAAATCTATGTCATTTGGTCTTAGGTGGATAGTTGTCTCATTGGCAATCATACCACATCTTCTTTCATTTTGTTGATAAACTTTGTGATCATATCATTGTTGTTCAATCAAATAATTGGTCTATTTTATTTCACAATATTCAATAAGAAATAAACTGTTAACACAGAGATATGTCTCACCTTTTTGTAATTCTGATAATGCAAATGTTGAAATTAAAATAGCAATATTTAACATGTAAGTTATGCAAATGTTCAAAGTCAATGAACCATGACTGAAGGTACATGGCTAAACAATCTCCATGGAAATGAGATGTGCCAATGCTAATACAACTGCATACCAAATACCACTGACTTATCTTAAGTCGTTCCCTTTAAAAATAAACTGTTATCACAGAGATATGTCTCACCTTTTTGTAATTTTGATAATGCAAATGTTGAAATTAAAATAGCAATATTTTAACATGTAAGTTATTAACCCGAATAATTCAGTCTTTATATTCCACTGCTCTACGATGGCTACATTAACGAGTGGGAGAGTCGATCACGGGGAGGGACTGAATTATTCGGGTTAGTAAGTTATGCAAATATTCAAAGTCGATGAACCATGACTGAAGGTACATGGCTAAACAATCTCCATGGAATGAAATGTGCCAATGCTAATACAACTGCATACCAAATACCATTGTCTTATCATAAGTCGTTCCCTTTAAACAAACTTAGACACAAACATTAACTTGTAAACTATGTAAAAGTTTCAAAGTCAATGAACCATGATCAGGGGTGGGGCTATATAATCTCCATGGAAACGATACTTGCAAATGCCAATAAATTTGCATACCAAATATCATTGACTTAACATTAGCGGTTCATCTTAAACTGATCTGATCACAAACAAATACATGTAAACTAAGCAAAAGTTTCAAAGTCAATAGACCATGACTTAGGGGGCGGGGCAAAATAATTTCCATTGAAAAGAGATATGCCAATGCTTATACAACTTCATACCAAATACCAAATATCATTGACCTACCACTAGTGGTTCCCCATAAACTGACCTAATCACAAACTAGTACATGAAAACTAAGCAAAAGTTTCAAAGTCAATAGACCATGACTAAGGGGGCAGGGCCAAATAATCTCCATGGAAATGAGATATGCCAATGCTTATACAACTTCATACCAAATATCACTGACTTACCACTAGTGGTTCCCTATAAACTGACCTTATCACAAACTAATACATGTAAACTAAGCAAAGTTTCAAAGTCAATAGACCATGACTAAGGGGGCACGACCAATTAATCTCCATGGTAATGAGATGTGCCAAAGCTAATACAACTGCATACCAAATATCATTGACCTGCCACTAGTGGTTCACCATAAACGAGACCTAATCACAAACTAATACATTGTTGACCCCGACGCCAGAAACAGCATACTTAAATTCTCCCTCACCCTGCTTGTCCCAATTTAAAGTATTTCTACTCTATATTCAATAGGCTTAAACAAAACAAACACAGAAATAGGATTAGTTGCTCGCAGTAACATATTATCTTCTCTTGCGATACATTATTTTATTAAACTTTACAATACAGGTATCTTTGATACAACCAACATATATAAATACATGTAATAAACATAGCAGCCACTGTATATATACTTATGTGACTAACTTCGTGACGATTTGACGTAACTGCGAGCACCTTCGATACTAATACATTTAAATGCCAAACTTTATATAGTACCATAAAACCCCACCCGTAGAAACTGCCAAAACTTTTCTCGTGCCTTGTACACGTAACATCAAACTTTATAAATAGTACATACTCTTGCAGAACTAGTTTCAGAACTAGTTACACTAGTTCCCATCTATATATAATTAATACAAATACCAAACGGGAAAACCCAATTTTCAAAAGAAATGAAATATATCTATGTCTGGCTTCTTGACTCCATCAAGTCGAGACAAAAAATTGAGTTGTCTCCCTTTTAAGACAGTTCAAGTCTTGATCCATATGTTTTATATAGTTTTAATCTAACTTTTCATTGGATAACAGTTAAACAAAGTACAACAAAGAAAATTCTATCCATATAATGCCATTATCTTGACTGAAATAAGTGATAATGCTATAGGATGGCATGATTTTACAGTACTGTAAGCTAGCTTTCAGGAACTGCTAATTATATTCTTTATCAATGTTTTGATTAAACTTGTGTTTTGTTGTCTGTCATACCAATATCATAGAGTTAGGGTTTTTTTTTATTGTATGTTCTTCTATGTACCTTTTGTTATTCCACTGATTTAAAAAAGGGGATGGGGGATCTTAAAAAAACTTGCTTAACATGTAAAACATGTACATGTGCCTGTCCAAAGTAAGACGCCTTGTCAGTTAAATTTTTATTATATTTTTTTTTAAGTTTATGTCCTTTTTGGAACCTGTTGTTAATGGCAGATATTTAATAGACTTTGTTATAATTATTCTAGAGGCTACTGGTAATAAACTTTGTTATAATTATTGATAATTATTCTAGAGGCTACTGGTAATAAAGAGCTTGGTATATTATAAAAAGATTTCATATAACTAATATCTCATTTTATTCATGTGAATTTAATGACAATACATGAACAAATTAACAAATATTTTTAAATGTGTTGTTGGTTTCTTTTCACCTCAGTAGTTGACATTATGTAGAATTAAATGATTTTACTGAAATCAATAAAATATCCACTAGAAACTGACTGAAAATTAACACCTTCCATCAAGATTTCTCTAAAATGTCAATGCTATAAAAACAATATCTACTAAGATCTTCATCTAAGTCTGTAATCACTTCAGTACATCATCTGAAAAAAATAAAACATATCTTTCTGATAAAATATCATAAATTTACCCATCTTTAGTTGAATTTTTGTTATCCTTATCTTGGAATTGTGATAAACAAATAAAATTTTTACATGTTTTCATATTTGAATTGATATTTCTTATGTTAGTGCACTATTATTCATTATAAATTAGGATGAATGTTGCATTTTGTATTTGCATCCTAAGTACAAAATTAATGAAAGACCTCAATGATATAAAAGATTATTGACATCTTTAATACACTTGAAGTTTGGGGATATCCTTGGCATTATTTTCACCTGACAATGTTCAAGCTAGCCCAAATTGGAGGGTGCAGGGCCAGAAAAAATCATTTTTACTACTGGAAAAAATACAACCCCAAAATACTTGCTTTGTACTAGTGAATATTTTAGTCAAAGTTATAAATCCAGCAAAAAAAAAACATTACTTTATTCAATTATTTCAATTTTTCAGACAAGAAACTAAGCTAACACTGTGTCCCTCAGCTATTTTAAAAATCCTAGCTAGATCAGAAGGTATGTCACATACATAGAAATCAAATCTAGTAGATCATGGCAAATGTTAGTTGCACACCCCTATGTATACACATTGTACCTTGAAGGTCACAGTGAATTACGTCACAAATTGTTTCACTTTGTAATAGTGAATATTTCAATATTTATATTCTGTATAAAAGCTGAATATCATTAATAACAGAAGGGCATCAGTAAAATTTCTGCCTTCCATGGGTATTATCTATGTTTAAATGAAATAATCCTTATTTCTTCTAAAATTACATTACAATTTATACTTGCTGTTATTTACATGTAGTAGGACCCTATGTGATGGTTCCTTTAAAATTCTGAGAGTTTAGATAAATAGGGGTCATCAGTTCAGATACACATCTACAATATTTGGTACAAACAAGCTAAATTTTCTAATTTTGGTGGTTATATCAATTTCCAAAAATCTTAATACTTAATTCTATTATTTTTACTGTATATGGTATATATTTAAATTAACATTTCTTGCTTATTCTAGCCCTTTTCTTAACCTTGAAATCTTTAGAAAATGTACTTCTGGCTGTTCATATTGCCAGACAAATTTTCCTAGTAATTACGCCCATTAAAAGCCAGACAGAAGAGATGAATCAAAAAGTATAATCAATAATTCTAAGAAAAGGAAGTGGTTATGATTGGCTCTCCAATATGATGTGATACCCTCATATATTTACTTACTTTTTACTAAAGCATCTGGCAGGTAGGTAGTATATTTTCATCTGAAAAAAAAGAACATATATTTGAAAATTAAGACTTAGTAATTTTCAATCATCATTCAATTAATTTTTTTCTTTCAACTATACTTGTAGGTAAGATTTTAAATAAAGAATTTTATTTTATTCTATCAATCCATTTTTTAATTATTTTTTTACCTCTATTTAGTTTTAATAGATGTAGAAAAACATACGTGTTAATATTCATATTAGTAAAAAAGATCTCTTGTAATTGTTTTTCTTTTCTTCAAATTAACACAAAAATATTGAAATTGAAATGTATATAGTGTAAGACGGTATCAAAGACTTCATATAAGCAAGTTAAGTACTTAGATGCTTAGAGCTTGCTTTCGGTTACTCAGCATTCTTAGATATGGTATTGCTTATCATTGATTTGTCTGAATTTGTGTTTTTGTTATTCATAAAACTATTACTATAGCGACGTGCTTTTCCTGTACTGATTTTTATTGTATATTCTTTCATTAGTTCATTGATCAACATGAAGGGCTGTTGAGATCTAAAAAAAACCCAACTAGTTTACCCCTGCCATATGTTCAAGTCAGGACCTTGTCAGTAGTTAGTATACCTAATACACAGTGGAACCAATGCAAAAAAAAAATCCCTTCAGTAATATGTAAGAATATTTTTTAAACTTTTTGAAAATTTTAAAATAAAAATTAGATAATGCGCTGATGTGGAACTTTCAAAACTAAAAAAAATGTTGCATACTGACTATTTGACTAAAGTGATGGTGACCCGTATTACACTTCAAAGGAAAAATATAGTTGAGACACATCATTGATATACATTTCTCTAATTCTTCGTCAATTTATCCCTTTCTGCACCCATTGTATAAAAAAAATTTAATCGACATGTGGTTCGTTCGATCTCAGTTCTTCATTTGTTAAAATCTGATTATGCTTTCCTCTGAATTTCCTATTGTGACGGCATGAAAAAAGGCGACCATGCCTGATGACGTCACATAGAAAGAACACATCTTTTTGCAGATCATTCAAAAAGAAGGAATAAGTTTGCCTGCATATTGTTTGAAAATCATTAGAGAAACAGATTCCACCACCAAATCTCGTGTAATACGATATTTATCCACTCTCGACAGTTAAATTTTAAATATTTAAAACGCTAGGCGAGCCTCGCGTTTTAAATCTGAAAATTTAACTGTCTCCAGTGGATAAATATCATATCACACTCGATGCAGTGGTAAAATCTATATGTAACAGTTAGAATAAATACATAAACACAGGACACAAAGGCAGCAGAATAACATAGTACCAGGTCATCAGTAGGGATGAAAGAAAACAGCTAAATCTAAGTAAAGACCCAAAAGCATTGACTATACATGTACAAGAAGACTTGAGTAGTAAAATATTATTGATGCATAGCATGTTTAATAAAATGCTCCGCAGGGCGCAGCTTGATACGACCGCAGAGGTCGAACCCTGAACAGTTGGGGCAAGTATGGACACAACATTCAAGCTTGATACAGCTCTGAATTTGGATTGTGATTAAATATTTGACACAGCATAGGTTTCTGACACAGAATGAATGTGGTCTAAGAACTTAAAAATTTTAAATTGGATATTCACCTATTATGGTCCAATATCCAAAATCTAAATACATGGTTAGATTCAGCATATCAAAGAACCCCAAGAATTCAATTTTTGATGAAATCAAACAAAGTTTAATTTTGGACCCTTTTGATCTCAATGTGGACAAAGTTGATAACGGGGCCCAAAAATCAAAAATCTAAATACATGGTTAGATTCAGCATATCAAAGAACCCCATATATTCAATTTTTGTTGAAATCAAACAAAGTTTAATTTTGGACCCCGATTTGGACCAACTTGAAAACTGGTCCCATAATCAAAAATCTAAATACATGTTTAGATTCAGCATATCAAAGAACCCTAAAAATTCAATTTTTGTTAAAATCAAACTAAGTTTAATTTTGGACCCTTTGGACCTTTATGTAGACCAATTTGAAAACGGAACCAAAAATTAAGAATCTAAATACACGGTTAGATTCGGCATATCAAAGAACCCCAATAATTCAATTTTTGATGAAATCAAACAAAGTTAAAATTTGGACCCTATGGACCTCAATGTGGACCAATTTAAAAATCCAAAAACTTAATACACGGTTAGATTCAGCATATTAAAGAACCCCAAGAATTCAAGAATAAAACCCCATTGAAATTGATCAAGAAGTAAGCAATTTATACGAAGTATCTTCTTTTGCACAATACTGTGCAATTGAATATTTCTTGCTATTGCGCAATACTGTACAATTGACAATTTCTTGCTATTGCGCAATATTGTGCTATTGGATATTTCTTGCTATTGCGCAATACTGTGCAATTGAAGATTTCTTGCTATTGCGCAATACTGTGCAATTGAAGATTTCTTGCTATTGTGCAATACTGTGCAATTGAAAATTTCTTGCTATTGCACAATACTTATTATATAATAATTTACACATCCTGTTTGGTGTGTATCTCCTATCATATCATTATTATTTGCTTTTAAATATAAATCAGAAATAACCAACTTAAAATGGAAAATTTTAAAAGAAAAAAAAAAGGAAAAAAAGAAAAAAAAAAATCCCCCCCCCCAAATTTTTTGAACCCCCTTATGATTCATCACCCCCAAACTCAATCCCAGCCTTCCCTTTGTGATATGGAACCTTGTGGTACAATGTCAGAGAGATCCATACACTTACACACAAGTTATTGTCTGGAAGTTACAAAAATGCTTATTTTTGGCCCCTTTTTGGCCCCTAATTCCTTAGCTGTTGGTACCATAACCCCCAAAATCAATCCCAACCTTCCTTTCGTGGTATTGAACCTTATGGTAAAATTTCATGGAGATCCATTCACTTAAACTAAAGTTAGAGTGCGAAAACCAATGTGTCTTCGGACGACGCCAGACGACGACGACGCCAACGTCATACCAATATACGACCAAAATTTTTAATTTTTGCGGTCGTATAAAAAGTATATATAAACTAAAATTTTTTAAAAAATCAATCAAATGGAGGTTACTGTTATTCACATGTTGACGAACAATGAGGACTGTAGTAAAAATTCATTGGCAATGTTTATAGCACCATATCAGTTTCTTAGAAATAGATATTTGCTCATTCCACATTGGCTAGATGTACAGGGGGAGGGTTGAGATCTCACAAAACATGTTTAACCCTGCCGCATGTTTGCGCCTGTCCCAAAATCAGGAACCTCTAGCCTTTGTTAGTGTCGTTTGTTGCTGTATATCATATTTGTATTTCGCTCATTGTTTTTTACATAAATCAGGCCATTAGTTTTCTCGTTTAAATTGTTTTACATTTTTCATTTCGGGGCCTTTTATAGCTGACTATGCGGTATGGGTTTTGCTCAATGTTGAAGGCCGTACAATGAACTATAGTTATTAACTTCTATGTTATTTTGTGGAAAGTTGTCTCATCGGCAATTATACCACATCTTCTTATTTTTACATTGGGTGTTTTTAAATTTGGGTTCATTTGTATGTTTCAGAGTTAAGTGTGGCTTCCACTTCACTTAACAAGTATACATTATTGTTTGGGGGCTTTTCTCGCTGCGTTGAAGACCCATTGGTGTCTTACACTGTTTATTTGCTCTTTAGTGGGTTGTTGTCTCTTCGACACATTTGCCGTTTCCATTCTCTAATCTGTACCAAACTTGAAACATACAGACATACTAATGCGCAAGAGTCAATCTATATTACCCTACCATATGCATGGCAGGGCATCAAAAAAATTCAGCTAGATGATGATTGTGCATTATTCAAAACATGACTCTTAATCCAGAATTTGTGCGTAAACACAGAAATAATTTGAAATGTAATCAAATATTTGTCTCTCCAATTGAAAATTCACATTAATATTCCAAGTTTCCATAAACTGTGTTATTGTTCAAAAATTTAGTATTTACAAATAATATTGTAAATAAAAATATAATACCTTGGAAAATAAAAATCTTTATCCAAAAATATCTATGTTTATCCCATAATAAAAGCAATGTTTAAAACTATTCAGTAGAAAACTTCCATTATGAAAGTTTTGAATTTTGACATGAAACATGTTTTGAACAAAGGAAAATTCTGTGAAACTGTATTTGTTCTTACTGTTAGAGTAATAGACATACAATAGAAACTTTGCATCATCATTATTTCAACAATTGAAACAATGTGACTGCACATACGGCAGTTTGAGATATATAGAGTACCTAAAACCCAATCTGGTTGAGTAAAGTTCCCTCTTTGGAATTTGGATTCAACAAAATTGACATTTGAAATTTCTCTAGGCATAGAAAAACTTCCTGATTTTTGTCTAAATTATTAAATTCTAACCTTTTCCTTCATGTGAAAAATATCTTTATGGGGTCATCTTGAACTGGCATTTGAGTTCTTAGTACTTATTGAAGTGGCATTCCAATAGCTACATAAGAATTTCAATAGCTTGTCCATTTTTCCTTGTTTAAATAATTTTATCACAAAGCATTTTACCAATGTTACATTTTTCCTTGTTTCAAGTAATTTTATCTCAAAAATATCATCTCAATAGTTCATTTTTTAATCCATCTTTCAACCTGTATCTATTATATTTCTAAGTTATGATATTAAAATGACATGACATATTTCAATCTTCCACAGAAGTAATCTTCAAATTAGTTGGGCAACATAAATTTCATTCCTTAGTGTTTTTTTTTTTTTATTTTTAGTGAAGCATTTTTGTAAGGTTTTTATTTGTTCAGTAGGGATGAAGCGTTAATTTACATTCTGTAATGGTTTGTCCTGTACACTCAAACAAACAAATAAAGTGTAGTAACAATCACCAAACAGTTTTGAGTATAGGTATTTCTTTGACAAATCTGAGGTATACTATGCAGTTATTTAACAGCTGCACCAAGAACACATAATATGCCCTAATTGTGCATATTGAAATTGTTGCAAAAATAAACCGATATATTTA